ATTTTGGTGGTGAAGTAGTCTCCAAGCTGGTCACTGTCTGGTCGCTGCCCAGAGAAAGGTAACGTTTCCTTCATAATCTTCTCCTCGTCTTCTTCTATTTCTGATATGTCTCGCTACTCTGTTGTTGTGTCACTGTTGTTTGTAGATGAGAACTGATGACTTCAATTTGCTATATATGTGTTCTTAATGGATTTCCTTGATTCATATTAATGTGGAAGTTGGGTTTTGTCGTTTAGTATTTAGTATTGTCGCTTATTTGTTCCTTTGTTTGAATCGTTTTTGGGTGACTCCTCTTCGATATGTCGTAGAATCTCTGTTCTTCGTTTTCATTGTCTGTAAGCCCAGGTTTTACATTCAGTTTTGCTACTGTTAATGATGCTTTCTTTTCAAAATAAGGATAGAATCTTGAAGCTAACTAAGGTGAAAATTGTTTGTGTTTTTGTTTTGTTGATGTAGTAGCTTGTTTTCAAATCCCCTTATCATTCTACGAATCGAATTTATGTTTCCATCTGCCTAAATTTTAGTCAAAAATGCCCACTGTTTGTAATTAAGCTTATAAGGTGTGAAGTCATGTTACTGTCCAGATTGTAGTTTGCTTTCAAAGTTGTTGCCTATTTCTCTTTTCTGATCATCTCGGCATGTTGTTCTGCTTGTATTTTCAATCTATTTAAGTCTTTGAAGTTTGGCCTTGTTAAAAGATTTGATATTGGTATAAGTATGTGTATGTTCTTGTTGAGTTAAATAAAGTGTCACAGGTCAATCTTTGTTGGCCTTATTGTTCAATTCATAAAAGATTAGATGTAAACAATTAGGAAGTCACTGAATTTTGTTTCAGCAGTTATTAAAGTAGTATATGTTTGCTTTTGTTTTATTTGATAGCTACTAGTTATCCTTTCGTTCCTTAAACTCGTCTCTTGTTTATTTATTATACTTAATAGCTACTAAGCTATTAAGTATACAATAGAGTAACTTCTTTTTAGATTTGGCGAAATAGCTTGGCCTAATCAGAGGATCTGGTTGATATTCACTGGAAGTAAGTCTTACTCTTTATTTTTACCCCTGATTTAGCTCAAAATTTAACTATCGAGGTATTTACTTTACTGAATGTAATTAGGAAGATGCTTGTTGTCATTGTGTCCAATGTGCTTAAGCAAATTTAGTTTCTTTATATGTGTTTTGTTATTTGTATGCTTGTACTACTAGTTCCTTATTTATAAAAGAAAGTATAGTTTATACTCTAAAGTAAGCTGGCTGGACTTAGAATGCTTTATTATTCTGTAAGTTGACTGGAATTAAAATTCTTCAGCAAGGAATTTTTTTTTAGGTAAGCTTTTTTCCAGCTTTCCTAGTGAAAAATTTCAGTTTCAGCTCCTCATTTCTTTAATTCACAGGCACAGGAGATCAAATTCCAATTGTTGTGAAAGTTACTGAATGAATCTATTTCATTCTAATTCAACAAGGTGGTACCACAACTGTTGAAACATCAGCTCAAAGTACCACCCCAACTATCTCTGAGACACCTCCAGTTACACCAAATCAGAGCAGTCCCATAGGTCAGGGTCTATCTACTCAGAGCATCCCAACAGGTTGTAGTATTCCAATTGCTAAGGGTGATCTATATACTTAAAGCAACTCAAGAGGTCATACAAACACAGTTGATACTGATTCTAGTAGTAACCACTCACGGACCCTTATTTTTATAAGTTCTGCAGGGTTAGTCCACTCTTTTGCTTTTATCCTCATAACCTGTTTATACTTAAGTGTAGTTAATATTGGTAGTCTTTGAATCCACAAGTTCGAGTAAACAAATTATAATTTAAGGTTCCCTGTTAAGCAATGCTAATTGATGGATCTGAAAAATCAGCAGCCTACTATAATCTGAGTATTCTTTTTGTTAGCAATCACATATATATTGTCTGATTATAATAAAACTCCAAATAATATCTTCTAATTTACGCAGGTTGGAACCTTCTATAATATGCTCTAGTTTCATAACCAAGTCTTTCAGAAATGATGTTGATCCCAATTGAATAAATTGCAAAAGTGTTTCAAAAGATGTAAAAGATGGTTATTTTGGAGAATTTAAGGTATTACTTTTCATTGTAGATAAGTTTGGAAAGTGTATTCATACTTATAGATAGGATATTGATATATTACTTTCAAAATTTATTTCAGAAAAAATTCTATTGGGATGTTTCTATTAGTGAAAGTGAAGTGAAGAGACACTGGTTGGTCAAGGCCGCTATAAAATACAGAAATTTTATTTCTAAAATAAAAGGGGGAGGAGTTAGGCCAGGTTTTGTACCTGAGCATGTTTGGGAAAGATGGACACAACTTTGGGGAAGTAATGAGTCCAAGAAAAAGTCAGAAACAAATGCAAAGAATCGTCGTGGCGGCCGTGAAGTTGCTACTGGGACTCACACAGGTGGCTCGATCTCAATTGGACAGCATCGCAAGAAACTTGTAAGTATATATTTCATAAATTATATAAGTAACATCTTTAGGTTGTCTCATATATACACTTGTATCTAAATACACATTATGCAATCGATATTTTTGTATCTAAAAATTTGATATTTCTTTTGTAAAGGCTATTCAAAAGGGTCGAGATCCAACACCAAGCGAGTTACATTTACACGTCCATACGCATGGTCATGATGGTAAATCTTTTGTTGGCGAACGCTCTCGAATTGTCCATGTAAGTCCAAAACTTTGAAACCTATCAGAATATATACATGTCATTTCTTATTAGAAGGGAAAACTTGGCTGAAAATGAACAGTAATTTAGTTTCATGGTTGGATATTGTTATCTTGCTGCTCAAGTGATGTGTGGACTGTTTACTTCTTGATCTATTCTCATACAGCATGATATTATGTGGGTCTGTCTGTATTTTGTTTTGACATTGGATAAGTAGCTCCCATCGATCGCTGTTGTGTTTGTAGTTCCACATCACTGAAAGTTTCTTTGTTTAGACATGACAATAAATTTTTCAGGAAGCCAACTACATTGTTATAGTTTTCAGGAAGCCAACTACACTGTTATATTTTTTTATAGGTATGGCTCGAGGCAGAGGTCGTGGGAAGTCCTTTGGTAGGAGTAGTCTTGCTATTCATGTAAGCATGCCAACTATTCCGATGCCCACTACAGTTTCTCCTCAACAAGGTGGTACCACAAC